TAGAAAGTTCGCTTTCTTGAAAGCTAAGCAAGGTCAGTTTGAGTTAAACTTGGCCACTTAAGCTAATGACACAATTAGCGGCCTACGCAAATTAGTTCGTTAAAGAAAATAGAGAAGGATGTAGAGGGACGGAGAAAGTTACGGAGAAACCTTATTCTTGAGTGTTAGAAGAGAAAGTTTGAGGAAAAAAAAGAAGAAGAAGAAATAGGATGAAAATCATCGTTTTGGACTTGAGAATTCAACACTTAGATGATTTAGAAAACCTTAAATGAGGTGATTAAGTTCAAATAATATCGTTAAGCTACAATTTATCATAAAATTCTTTTTCTTGGAGGCTTAGTAAGCTTAGTTTGAGTTAAACTTGCCCACTTAAGCGAATGAAACAATTAGTGGCCTAATCGACATAGTTCCCAGGACAAAATAGGGAAGGATGGAGAAAGTTACAGAGAAACATTATTCGTGAGAGCAAGAATAGAAAGTTAGCGAAAAGAAAAAGAAATAGGAAGAAAATCAAGAGAAATTCAAATACATCGTTTTGGACTTGAGAATTCAACACTTAGATGATTTAGAGAACCTTAAATGAGGTGATTAAGTTAAACTAAAATATTAAGCTACAATTAGTCTGGAAATTCTCTTTCTTGGAGGCTAAGCTAGGTTAGTGTTAGTTAAACTTGGCCACTTAAGCTAATGAAACAATTAGTGGTCATGGGTAATTAGTTCCCACAATAAAATGGAGAAGGAAGGTGAAGCACGGATAAAGTTATAGAGTAACATTCGGCTTGTTTTGGTTTGCTTTTGGAAGAGAAAGTTAGAGAAATTAAGGTCATGGGTATTTTGGAGACCAAAATAAAAGCTATAAATGAAAACAATGTTTTTTCATCTTGCATGAGCAGCTGGTCTTTTTTGACTAACTCTCAACCTAATAAAACTGGTAGAATCTGTGTGCTTTGGGACCCATCTTTTTGTGATGTCACTCTGGTCAACTTCTCTGACCAGCATATTCTCTGTGAAATAAATGATTTATCTCAGGCCAAGATTTTCAAAACTTGTTTTGTCTATGCCAAGAATTGTAGTATTTTGAGGAAAAAGTTTTTTGACCAAATGTTCAGTTTTTCCAACCTTTACTCTGATGCCCCTCTAACCTTTCTCGGGGATTTCAATGCCATCAGATACAGTTATGAAAAGTTTGGGGGATCTCTTTTGTGGAATAGTGCGAAAGAGGTTTTTAACTCTTATATTCTCAATGCTGAGCTTGTTGACCTTTCATATGGTGGTTGTCAATTCACTTGGGCGAATAAGAGGACTAGGGGTGATTACATTGCCACTAAGATTGATAGAGTTTTGGTCAATGAGTCTTGGATTGACCAATTCCCTGTCTCTAATGCTATGTTTCTCCTTTCTAGTATCTCCGACCACTCTCCTGTTGTAGTCACTGTCTCTGGTAAGGCCCAATCTTTTAAAAAACCCTTTAAATATTTTGATTTCTGGGCTGAGCACAAGGATTTTCTTCCTAAAGTTTCTCAGGACTGGAATCAGTATATTAGAGGTGTCCCTATGTTTAGAATCTGTCAGAAACTCCGCAGTCTTAAACCTATTCTTAAATCCTTAAACAAGAAGGAGTTTAGTGACATTTCAACTAGAGTTTTGGCCTCTAAAGCTGAGCTGGATTCTATTCAATGGAAACTTGACAAAGATCCATGCAATAGCTCTTTTCAGCTCCTTGAGAGGACTTTGTTTAAAAAATATGTGGATCTTAGTGCTGTTGAGGAGAAATTGGCGCATCAAAAATCTAGAGTCCAATGGCTTGGTCTGGGTGACAAGAATAGTAGGTTTTTCTTTAGGTCTGTGAAGAGTAACATCAATAGAGGGAAAATTCTTAATGTTGAGTTGGAGGATGGGAGGGTTTCGTCTAATCCTGAGGAAACCCATGGTGCTTTTATTGATTATTTTTCTAAACTCTTTGGCACTCCTTCACAGAACCATCATAGAGGCACTACTAGAGTTCATGATCTGATTAAAGCTAGGGTCACTCCTGATCAAGCTATTAAGATGGCTAGCCCTGTTTCTGATAAGGAGATCAAGGATGTGTTTTGGTCCTTGAAAACTAATAAGGCCCCTGGCCCTGATGGTTACTCAGCTGGCTTCTTTAAAAGTGCTTGGAGTGTTGTTGGTAAAGATATAACCCAGGCCATAAGAGCCTTCTTTGAATCTGGGAAACTTCTGTCTGAAATCAACAACACTACAATTGTGCTCATTCCGAAAATTCCTAATCCGGTGAAAGTTGGTGACTATAAGCCCATCTCCTTTTGTAATACAATTTACAAATGCATTGCTAAAATTCTTGCTAACAGAATTAAAGAGGTCCTCCCTGACTCATTGATCCTGTTCAATCTGCCTTTGTGCAAGGGAGGAGAATTTCGGATAATATTTTCTTATCTCAGGAAATCATGAGAGGCTACCATAGGAACTCCCCTGTACCTAAATGTGCCGTGAAAGTTGATATTATGAAAGCCTATGATACTGTCAAATGGGAGTTTATCATTGATATTCTTACTGCTATGGGTTTTCCCCAAACTGTGATCACATGGATCAGAGCTTGCATAACTAGTCCATCCTTTTCCATATGTATCAATGGTAGCCTTCATGGCTACTTCAAAGGGGCTAGAGGCCTTAGGCAAGGAGATCCTCTGTCTCCTTATCTTTTTGTCTTAGCTATGGAGGTTTTGGCTAGAATTCTGGAGGAAAAATCTAAGAATCCTCTATTCAAATTTCATTGGAGATGTGAGAAAACCAGAATTGTTAACCTTTGCTTTGCTGATGACCTTATGATTTTTAGTAAGGGTGATACTAATACTGTTCGTTTGATTATGGATGGCTTGAATGAGTTTAGTGTCCTTTCAGGCCTCACTCCGAATCCTAGCAAGAGTAATATCTATTTCTCTGGCTGTTCTGAGGATTTAAGGGCTAGTATCCTTCATATTGCTACTTTCTCTGAGGGTATGCTCCCTGTCAAATACCTTGGAGTGCCTCTCATTACCACAAAGTTGAGAGCCACTGATTGTAAACAGCTAGTTGATAAGATCACTAAGAGGATTAGTAGTTGGACCAATAAACTTCTACCTTATACTGGTAGGGCCCAACTCATCCAAACCATCTTATTTTCTATGCAAGTTTATTGGTCATCTCTATTCATCTTACCTAAGAAAGTTATTAAGGAGATTGAGAGCCTCCTTAGAGCTTTCCTATGGTCTGGTACTGATCTTAGGAAGCATAGTGCGAAGATTGCTTGGGATAAAATTTGTGTTCCTAAGAAAGAGGGTGGTCTGGGTTTCAAATCTATGGAGGTTTGGAATAAGGCTTCCATTGCTAAACATGTTTGGTTTTTGTTCTCTGGAGGGGAAAAATCTATGTGGTGCCAGTGCGTCAAATCTTATCTTATTAAGGGTAAATGCTTCTGGAAAATTAAAACTCTTCTTGGGTTTGGAGGAAAATCCTTTCTCTCAGGGCAGTAATTTACCCCCTTATTAAACATAGGATTGGTAATGGCCAGAACACTTTTTTGTGGTATGACAATTGGCATCACCTTGGCCCTCTCTGGGAAAGATATGGTGACAGAATCATGTATGACTCTGGCTTAAATGGGGAGTCCAAAGTCAGTAAAATTATTGTTGGGAGTTCTTGGCATTGGCCTTTTCCCAACTCCTGGGATCTCAGGGAATTAACATCCCAAACTCCCAACAATTGCCTTCCTAACCCCTTGGAGAGGGACACTACTGTTTGGTCCCTCAACCCTGATGGTGCTTTCACAATTAAGTCTGCTTGGGAGTTGTGGAGATATAAGCAGGATTCGGTTCCTTGGTATAATCTTGTCTGGGGTCATGCTACTATCCCCAAAGTTAGCTTCATTGTTTGGTTGGCTATCTATGGCAGGCTGAACACTAGTGATAGACTCTAATTGTTTGGAATCCCTTCTAGTCTTACCTGTCCATTTTGCCTTGATTTAAACGAAAGCCATCCACACCTCTTCTTCGATTGCAGCTTTACATCCAGAATTTGGCATGTCATGCAAGTTAAGTGCAATGTGCAATGGCAGCAGGTCTCTTGGCCTGAAACTGTTATTATTGTCAACAGAGAAAGTAAAGGGAAGTCCATGAAATCCATCATCACTAGACTTTCTTTCCTCAGCACCGTGTATCACATTTGGCTTGAAAGAAACAATAGAGTGTTTAACAAAGAATGTAAACCTGTAGAGGTTATCATTAAACCTATTGTACTTATGGTGAGAAATAGAATGTTATCTGTTAGCAACATTCCTATTGCAACAGGTGATGATTGGTTCCTTGATCAATGGAATCTTCCAAGATCCATTCTGAAGACCCATCCTTACAATGCTGGGAGGACTGCTGAGTGATGTGAGTGCAATATAATGTGGGTTGAGTGGATGTGAGCCTAATAATGAGTGTTTATCTAATTAGCTGTTATGTGTGTAGGTGTGCTTATTTGAAGTGGAATATTATTTGTGGGTTGAGTGTGGTGAGACATATAGTCACAATTTCCTCGAAATTCTGTGGGTTGAGTGAAATTAGGATCTATATGTTTTACAAGCTAACCACTATATATATTGTATCTTTTTATGCAGATTAAGGAAGCTTGTTCCAAGTGTGGTGAGATTCAATAGTGTGGGTTGAGTGGTGTGAGATCAAAAATTGAGTGGCTCTACTTTCTGCTTTGGTTATTTGAAGCTCATGGTTACTATCTCCTGTTGCTTAATTGGCAGGTCATTCTACTATGTCTAAGTCGAATCTGTGCAAGTTCGGGAATTGTCATCTAAAGTTGCAGTGGGAAAATCCAAATATGTACAGTGCGAGGAATGGATTTACATGTCATTCTCAGGGTTTGTTATCTAAAGCCATCATGGGAAACTCCAAATCTATGGGTATGGCTGCTGTATGCGCCTTCCAAAAGTTGCTAAATGATCAAAAGTTGTCTTTAATTTATTGTAGTATCTATTTAAAACCTATTCAGTTTTGGCCTACTCTAGTGGGATGTACTAGAGATCATAGTTGGGTCTGCCTTATTTTCTAGTTGTTGGGTACATATAGCAGATTATTTTTCTGCTTATCCTAGGTCTTTGGTGGATAACCATTCGGACTGTTTTGCTGGTTCACTGTCTTGTGTTGGCTGTTTTGGTTTTTGGCAGCCTTTTTTTTGTTGATGTATGGCTGTTCCATCCTAGCTTTTTATTACTTTCGCTCCTTCGCTTGCGTTCATCAGCTATTTCTCTTCGAGATAGGTTTTGAACATTGTGTGTATGGATTCCTTTTGGTTTGTTCTTCGTGGCTTGTGCCCTCATTTGTATAGCTCTGTAGGTCCTGGGGCATGCCCCTTGTATTTTTTGTATATTTTGTATATTTTGCTGTTTTATTTATGTCTTATTCACCCAAAAAAAAAAAGAAAGTTAGAGAACAGAAGGAGAAATTGGAAGAATGTAAAAGGGAATTTAAATTCAACCATTTGGACTTTAGAAAAGATTAAATGAGGTGCTTGTATTAAACTAATACCGTTAACCTACATTTACTTAGAAAGTTCGCTTTCTTGGAGGCTAAGCAAGGTCAGTTTGAGTTAAACTTGGCCACTTAAGCTAATGAAACAATTACTGGCCTCAGCTAATTAGTTCGTTGAAGAAATAGAGAAGGATGGAGAAGGACGGATAAAAACATTCTTCTTCTTCAAAGGTAGAAAAGAAAGTTAGAGAAAAGAAAGAAAAATAAGAAAAAAATCGAAGGGAATTCATATTCATCCTTTTGGTCTCGAGAATTGAACACTTAAGTGACTAAGAAAACCTTGAGCGAGGTGCTTAAGTTAACGTAATATCGTTAAGCAACAATTACTCAGAAAATTCTCTTTCTTGGTGGCCAAGCAAGGCTGGTTTGAGTTAAACTTGGCCACTTAAGCTAATGAAACAATTAATGGCCTAATATAATTAGTTCGTTGATGAAAATAGAGAAGGATGTAGAAGGACGAAGAAAGTTGCAGGGAAACATTATTCTTGAGTGTCAGAAGAGAACGTTTGAGGAAAAAAAAAAGAAAAAAAAAAAGAAGAGAAATGTGAATAAAGTCAAAGGGAATTTAAATTCATCATTTTTTGCTTGAGAATTGAACCCTTAGATGATTTAGAAAACCTTAAATGAGGTGATTAGGTTCAACTAATATCGTTAAGTTACCATTAATCAAAAAATTCTCTTTCTCAGAGACTCAGCAAACTTAGTTCGGGTTAAGCTCGGCCACTTAAGCTAATGAAACAATTAGTGGCCTAATCTAGTTAGTTCCTAGAACAAAATAGAGAAGGACGGAGAAAGTTACAGAGAAACATTATTCTTGAGAGCTAGAAGAGAAAGTTAGAGAAAAAGATGAAGAAATCGAAAGAAAATCTAAGGGAATACAAATTCATCGTTTTGGACTTGAGAATTGAACACTTAGATGATTTAGAATACCTTAAATGAGGTCCTTAAGTTAAACTAATATCGTTAAGCTACAATTACTCAGAAAATTATTTTCTTGAAGACAAAAAAAGCTTAGCCTATGTTAAACTTGGCCACTTAAGCTAATGAAACAGTTAGTGGCCTAAGCTAATTAGTTCCTACAACAAAATGGAGAAGGGAGGTAGGTGAAGCACGAAGAAACTTAGGGAGAAACATTGGGCTTGTTTGGATTGCTTTTGGAAGAGAAAGTTAGAGAACGGAAGGGGAAATTGGAAGAATGTACAAGGGAATTCAAATTCAACCATTTGGAGTTTAGAATTGAACAGTTGCATCGTTTAGAAAAGCATAAATGTGGTGCTTACGTCATGCTAATACCGTTATTCCATATTTCCTTAGAAAAATTGCTTTTTTGGAGGATGAGTAGGGTCAGCTTGAGTTAAGCTTGGCTACTTAATTGAGCATTTATGTCATTTAGAAAAGATTAAATTAGGTGCTTATATTAAACTAACACCGTTAACCTACATTTACTTAGAAAGTTTGCTTTCTTGAAAGCTAAGCAAGGTCAGTTTGAGTTAAACTTGGCTACTTAAGCTAATGAAATCGGGAAGGACGGAGAAGGACGGAGAAAGTTGGACAGAAACATTCTTTTTTTTTTTTTTTTGGGTGAATAAGACATAAGATAAAAAAAACAGAGACCTATATAGCTACAAGGGGCATACCCCAGGACCTAACAGAAAACTATACAACCGAAAGGAGAACCCGAAAACACCAGCCAACTAACAAGGATCCAAACCAGCTACCAAGAATAAAATAAAGAAAAACAAAATTACATAGAAAGGAAAGAAACCCAAAAGGATACGTGCATAAGCCGCATACATGCGAATGAGGTCCATGAACACATCCAAGCGATAACCCAAAGCTGAATCAAAAAAACAGTCCACACATACGACATAACCAGAAGCAAACACAGAAGTAAAAACCATGCACATCTCGCACGGGTAGGCCAAAAAAGTAACATCACATCAATACCGTCTAATATCCAAGAACAGAAAATCAACACAGGAATATAAATTAAAAAAAGACAAATGTCCACAAAGGCGCTACAAGCAGCCATCAACACAAACCAGTAACTCTATTACGCGAGCTGCCAAACAACTGAGTGCCAACAAACCAGCATTCACCAAGAGAAGGGAAGATCGTCCTCTCCATGCAACCCCAACAGACCTTAAACATTGTAGTAAACCCAAAACCCGAAGAGCCAGGAGCTTTCGAAATAACAAATCTGCAGTCCCCAAAACCTTGACACCACTGCCGACCCATGCAACCCAAGACTTGCTCATACATTGTAGTAAACCCTATAAGAACAGCCATGAGTAAGTACCTCCAGCAGATAAGATACAATCTACTAGAATTTAATACAGAAACAGTGCCCTCAATATAGGATCTCACTCCACTCGACCCACAATTTAGGGGCTCACACCACTCAACTTGTGCTTCCTTACCCTGCAAATAAAGAAATACAATATTTATTAACATTAGCAAAAAATATGGTGGCTGAATACAGTCAACCCTCATGTGAAGTGAATATTTTTTAACTCCTCTCATCACTCAACCCTCGAAAACATAGATGCATCCATAGTGAACTCTGATCAAACCCTGCACAAAACCAAACCATTACTCAAAACACTCAATGTTGCTCACCAACACTCAACCCACATATAGAGGACTCACATCACTCAGCAGCCCTCCCATATCTGACAATATGGGGCTTCAATATTGTTGTTGGTAGATTCCATTGGGCAAGAAACCAGCTGTCACTGGCAGAGCTAGGCAAATTCTTAATGGACAGCATTCTACTTCTCACCATCTGGATTACAGATTTAATAACCACCTCTTCAGGCTTAAATTCTTTGTTAAAAACACGATTATTTCTCTCAATCCAGATGTGGTAAATAGAGCACAAGAAAGCATTACTAAGAATATGAGCCCTAAGAGAATTACCCTTAGCCTCCTTCGTAGCATATGTAACAATATCAGGCCAATCTAAAACAGGCCACTTTATGTTGCATTTGGCTTCAGTAGCACCCCAAACTCTATTGGTAAAACTGCACTTAAAAAAGAGATGAGAATGACTTTCTCCAGGATCAAGGCACAAAGGGCACTGCGAATGAGGAGCGATCACCAGTGTACAGTCTGTTATGGATAGCTACCCAGACAATGAAACTGACTTTGGGAATCCTATGAGGGCCCCAAAGGAGTTTATGCCAATCCACTCTACCAAAACTATGTCTCCAATAATTCCAAGCTGAGTGAATGGAAAACTGACCAACAGTAGTAAGTTTCCAGATAACTTGGTCACACTTGGAAGGGTTAGGTTTGCAGAATTCAGGAGTTGATGAGATCAACTCCTGAATTTCCCAAGAATTAGGAATAGGCCACTTCCATGAATGACCATCGATGATTTGACTGACTT